GACCATGTTCTTCTATATTTAGTACTGTCTTTTTCAACATGATGACTTATGCTGAATGTGACCACAGCTATTTTAAAGTAGGTGACATTTGGTGCGAAACTGGGGGTGGTGTGTTGAGCTTCCGGTACTCGGAAAAGGAGCTGGGTAAGCTAGTCATTTTTATTTTTTTTATTGCTGCTCTAAGGCCAAACTGTGCCCACACGTACAGGTAATAGCTGTTGAATGCTTAGTTATTTAAAAAAAAATCATAACGTTACTATAGAAGTCTATGGGAAAACATTTGGTTGTGTGTAACCTGTAATACCCTTGCTAGCAAGCGTATTAAACACAACCGTTTTATTTCGAAACTGTGTATGTATCTTACTGTGTAAAAAAGAATTGATGGGGTCCCCGTGGTCATATATTGGCCATGACAGGTGCCCCATTAATAATTAAGGAACACCCGGTTATGGGTGATTCTCATTGCTGGATAGTGACATTGATTTTGAGGAAACTTCAAAGGAACGAAAGTAGACTATCTCTCATTATGAGATTACCCGTGGGACACCAACCATGACTATCTTGTCGTTGTTATCAAACAGTAAGCCAGTAATAGCACTGGAAGGTCATTTCGGACGACGCGCTCTGTTTTGTAAAAACAATTGTCCAATTCTCCGAAGAACAAAATTCTACTTATTCTTGTATACTGTGATTTCGGTACTTTCTCCAACTGTCTACTACTACTACTACTACTACTACTTCTACTACTACTACTACTACTTCTATTAGTACAACTACCATTTCAACTTTTACTACCACTAGAACTACTACCACTGCTTCTACTACTACTACAACTACTATATGATACTACTACTTCTGCGACTTGTTGTTTCACTCAATATTCCAGGTGTGTAATGGCGGTCTGTGAATAATCGAGTCTGGGCCAGAAATTCCGGTGAGCAATCATGAGCATCGATCTTCGCAATTGGAATACATCACCCAAGTTAGTGAGCCCGACCACCCGACCCCGTTAGCCGCTTGACGACACGCATTGATGCTGAAGACCAATTCCAACCACATCTCCACTGGGGCAACAGTGCTTCAAGTTCACCATAACAGTCCCTGTGCATCTTCATGTATTGAAACGTTATTCACAACACACGTCTGTTTCCAGGGAGAATTAGTTCAGTCGGTACTCTCTCCGCGTCAGAGGCCAAAGCCCATAATAAGGTTTACCACACAAACTACACCTTCCATATCACTTCTAACACGAGATGTACATATTATGTGTTATTTGTTTGTTGATCAAGTCAAGACGCAAGTTCCAACAATGTGACAATGCATCTGTATAACATCTTTACAACGTGCAGAATTTGTTTCTTGACAGAAAACTAACGTAAAATTATAACGACAGAAATAAATCAGTTTCGGTTGTCTGCGGAACAGATTCCACTGGGGGTGAAAGGCAAAACAGACGTGACAATAATATGAATGGATCACTGAAAGTGATGACACCAGGTGTTATAAATATAAAAGCAACAAAAAAATATGTCTTAAATCACATCTAAAAGTCCATTCCGGCTGTATCGTGAGCATGTGTTTTTGAATACTGATGAAACCAGGTTTTTTGCGAAAAGATGGGCAGTTGGGGTCACCCTGCACGTGCAGAGGCAAGTCAAGAGTTCACCTGAAAAAATCATATGGGAACATGTTGTACAGGACAATAATATCTATTTAAAAAAAATATATGAAATATTGCTTCTTTCCATGCAGATGAAATCTATTAATGCGTATAGTTTGTCTTCCAAATTTATTTCCTTTAATTTCAATCCATTGTAATGTAGGATATAAAAACTAACTTACAAGTGAACAGCAACAAAAGAGAAAATATAATTATTGAGAAAAAGTTACATAGGGGTTTTGTTTCTTAAATTTAAGAAACTCAGTGGCTACCGACAGCACAGGACACGAACCTTTCCGCGAAAACCTGGTGTCATTGCCTGCGTTGATGATTTCATTTAAGTTTTCTATGTCTTGATACAGGAAAATACAGGACATATAAACTAAGCGGCACAAGAAAGTATAGGTTGGTAATTTGTAATGTTCCTAAAAACAGCGATAACTAGTGGAAAGTGGGTATTGGAAATATGACTGCCCAGGAACAGGTACCAAAAACACCTCACCCGAACGCGCCACCTTTGACGGCGCTCGTGCGGTGACAAAAAATGGTGAAACAGGTTTCCCGCTTATGGCATAAACTGCAGGTGCATGTTAGCTGTATAAATGTGTTCGTCTGCAGTGATGAAAGCACACAAAAGAAATGCCATGACTGTCACAGGAGCAGAGAGAGAGAGAGAGAGAGAGAGAGAGAGAGAGAGAGAGAGAGAGAGAGAGAGAGAGAGAGAGAGAGAGAGAGAGAGAGAGAGAGAGAGAGAGAGAGAGAGAGAGAGAGAGAGAGAGAGAGAGAGAGAGAGAGAGAGAGAGAGAGAGAGAGAGATGTATGGCCGAAATGGGGGCAACACAGGTCCAAATTGCCAGAAGGTTTGGTGGTACACTATTGACAGTAGCCAGGCTGATTCAACGGTACAGACAGACAGGGAGGACACAGGACAGGCCTAGAACCGGACGACCCCGAGTGACAACACCACTGGAAGACGGTCAGATACGGCTCATTCACCTGCGAAACAGATTCGTAACGGCGACGGCAGCAACAGCGTTGGGACATCCCATTAGCCAACGTACGGTACTACGACGACTTCGTGCTCAACATCGACGCCTGAGACTGCGATGGGCGAGGCAGGTTCGACGCTGGGAAATAGGCGTCGAGTCCTGTTTACTGATGAAAGTCGGTTTAACTTGTTTCGAAATGACGGCAGAGAACGAGTTTATCGACACAGAGGGGAACGTTTGGCTCCGGCGTGTATTCGAGAGGTCCATCCATTCGGCGGGGGGGTTGTCATGGTGTGGGGCGGTGTTTGTGGAGATCAGAAGACTGATTTGTGGATTATACACGGAAACCTGAACGCTGTGCAGTACAGAGACCAAGTGTTGCAGCCAGTTGTGCTTCCGTTCTTACAAAACCAACAGCAGGGGACATTGTTTCAACACGACAATGCCAGACCCTATACTGCAAGACTGACTCGGAACTTTCTAAACCAGCAGAACGTTGACGTTTTGCCCTGGACTGCCCACTCACCCGATATGAATCCTTTTGAACATCTGTGGGACCATCTTGACAGACAGATTAGAGCACACCATCAGCCTCCCGTCAACAGACAAGAATTGCAGCAGGCCCTGAGAGGCGAGTGGCAACGGATTCCAGTCCACGTCATCAGAAGACTGACGTCATCGATGAGGCGGCGTATCACAGCATGCATGGAGGCAGCGGGAGCTCATACACGCTATTGAAGGCAACTGTGTCGACAATGAACTTGTAGTGTGTCTGACAATTTGTTGGTGACATTTCAGACAACTTTTGAAAATGAGATTTCTTACCCCACCATTGATTACCTTGAGCTTACATTACCTGTGATTGTACCATTTCATTCAAACTGTGGTTGATCAATCATTTGTTACCCCTCCCTAGATTATATTAAAATTCACAACAAAACCTCTTCTTGTTATTTTTTTTATCGATCATGGAACTCGACCTATACTTTCTTTTGCCGCCAAGTTTATTAAACATTTCTACGTTAATATGGGGGCACGGGTGGCCTAGTCGTCTAAGGCGCCGCGATTCGCTGTGCAGAGTTGCGTCCCTTGGTCGCGCCAGAGACCTATGGTTGTGGGTTCGAATCTCGGTTCGCCCCGATTATGTTTCTAGGTTTGTCAGCACCATACCCGTGCCCGTGGGTTTCACCGAAGTGGTAAACGTCTGACACTTGCATCACTTCGGGCTTTCCTCCCACATTAAGCTGACACGCCGCGATATAACTGGAATACTGTTAAAAGCGGCGTTAAACCCAACTCACTCACTCACTCACTCTACTTTAATATAATATATTTTATGTATTTTCTCTTATTTTTAGAAAGCATTTCACTTCGTGAAGGCCTCCACAAAGCAAATATTCATAACTGCATCTGTTTACAGAATGCTCTGTAGTTTTGTGTCATGGATAAACGGTGTATTCTAAATAGAAACTGATAACATATTATTAACAAAATTGTATCGATTTTGCAAGAATTGAAATAATAATTAACACGTTTATTGATCAAACATAAATACTAGATCAAAATTTATAGGCAGTTTAAAAAGAATATCGGGCTTTTCTCGGCTGTCGGTTTAGACACAGTGGATACATCGTTGTGCACAGTCCATGTCTTTCCCTCATACCTTCCAACACAAATGCAATGCTATCGCCAAACCAAATATGATCACGGATAAACTCCACCAACGAGTCGTGAAGGAACGATGCGCGACTCAAGGCATACGACCAGGTGTCACAGTTTTCTCTATTGATTTCCTACCGATGATTAGAAAAAACCATAATCAATAAAGATAAATGGTAGACATATATTTTCAATCAGTCGAACTTCAAAATATTTCTCGTTTGCGTCCTCGTGGAATGCCTTTCATTAAATACAAGGACAACGATGGAAATCGATGGAAATGATGAAAAAAATGAAACCTTTAGTAATTTGTATCTCTGTAGGAATTTGCAACAACGTGGCTACCGAAGCGTACCCATCATGATGGCGTGTTTGTTGTCAAGGTTACCATAAACATTGCTTGTACAACACAACAGCGCACCACACCACCACCGCGCGTGCTCCACAATGCAACCTTCACGAAGGGATTTTTAATCGCTATGATTACCATGTTGAAATTGTAGGTGATAAATTATCTACAACTGACATCGAAACTGTAACGGGATGTGGTCATGAACTTCCCGAACACAATCGTCCCATCGATTGGGCATATACTGTATTAGTTTAGACACACATGCATCTCGTCTTGGGTCATCAATGCCTTGTATTAAAGAGAGTGGCGTCCCGTCAAGCAATGCTGGGAAGACGATCGAACATAGGGATGATGTCACAATAAAAACCACTTTGTGCAGACAGCTCCAGGTGAAAACCACGTGACCTGGGGAGATCAATAATCTTTGATTGACAGGGTTGTTGGTTCTTCGGCACAATCGTCCTGTCACTTAGTCAAGTCTGACGGATCAGACGGATTAAAACTTTAGTGTTTATTGTTTGAGATCTGTCATTTCTAATGGTGAGGAAAAAGTCAGTCTTGGGACATCAATTCCCTAGTCCCAGAATGGATACTTTGGTGTTGGTTCTCGTGGTCCTGCTTGGAAATCAAATGGTTTCAGGACAAGATGTCTCTAAAGCCATCGAATGTTTTTCTTCTTTGAACACTGCTCTACGTCTTTATACAGACCAGGTAAATTCCGTTGCTTGCAGATTCCCATCAAAGATTCGGAACAAGTTCGTCCCTCCGTCTGTCCATGACGTCTTGAGTGGGAAAACGTTCACAGACGTCTCCGGCTACCTCACCCAAGGATGTGACTCGACGGGTAATGGGACTGTCTCTCAAGAGGAGATCAGTGAGTTAATGGGGGTTCAAACTGACTTGAACAGCTGGATTGTGGTCACCTTACTCGATACAGCCATGAACTGTACCAAGGATGCTGGTCTTGAGGAGGACACAGGCATAAGGACACTGAGGATGGTGTATTCCAGGTTCTTTGAGATGTTGAATAACACGATTAAGGATGTCACCAATAAAAGTGAGTCTTGGTATTCGTGGAGACGTTTTATGCTTGACTTGCCCTCATAACACATGAATACTGGTGCGGCGTTAAGCAATACTCACTCGCTCTAAAACACCCAGACACCATGAGTTTTTTTTAGGTCTTCAGCAACCTATGCTTGCCGTAAAAGGCGACTATGCTTGTCGTAAGAGGCGACTGACGGAATCGGGTGGTCAGGCTCGCTGACTTGGTTGATACTTGTCATTGTATCATATTTACATGGATAGATGCTCATGATGTCAATCACTTGATTTTCTGGTCCAGACTAGATTATTTACAGACCGCCGTCATATAGCTGGAATACTGCTGAGTGCGACGTTTAATAACAAACAAACTAACAAAACAGTATACACATGCTTTTAATAAAACAATAATTATAAATATGTAATTAATTGATTGCATTGTGCAAAGCGTCATATTATGTCAGTGCATATGGTGTATAAGAAATTCTTTTTATAAAACAAACATACAGATGGTATAATTTTGTCCGCGGGAAACCACAAAAAGGTATATACCACAATGCGATAGACTATGATATAGTTATACCCTTTCGCATGTAAGTTCTTTAATGTATTTGTAAACTTATATGTTTTAAAGTCCGTGAACATCGTATTTATTCTCAATTCCTCATTGCTATGTCTAGCTCGGAAGAAACAAACCAGTCGCTGGAGGGAGCAGCTAATGTAAATGGGATATTTTTAGATATTTTAGATTTTTAAGCGTATGCGATTGCTGGCTTGAAAGTTTCGTTAATCCAAGTCATATCTGTAAAAGTATTTCAATATAGATATAGTTTCTTGAATACAGAGATTGGTCTTTTTATTTGGCAGGAAATATAAACTAACTAAAACAATAGATAGATAGATAGATAGATAGATAGATAGAAAGATAGATAGATAGATAGATAGATAGATAGATAGATCGATCGATATAGATAGATAGATAGAGATAGATAGACATATAGATAGATAGATAGACAGAATGATAGATAGATAGATAGATAGATAGACAGACAGACAGACAGACAGACAGACAGACATACAGACAGACAGACAGACAGATAGATAGATAGATAGATAGATAGATCGATCGATATAGATAGATAGAGATAGATAGATAGATAGATAGACAGACAGACAGACAGACAGACAGACAGACAGACAGACATACAGACAGATAGATAGATAGATAGATAGATAGATAGATAGATAGATAGATAGATAATAGACAGGCAGATATATAGACAGACAGACAGACAGATATATATATATATATATATATATATATAGATCGATATAGATCGATAGATCAATATAGATAGATAGATAGATAGATAGACAGAAAAACAGATAGAGAGATAGAGAGACAGACAGATAGATAGATAGATAGACAGAAAAATAGATAGATAGATAGATAGACAGACAGACAGACAGTAGATAGATAGACAGAAAAATATATAGATAGACAGAAAAATAGATAGACAGTTAGATAGATAGACAGACAGACAGACAGATAGATAGATATATATATTTATCGATATAGATCGATAGATCAATATAGATAGATAGATAGATAGAAAGATAGATAGACAGAAAAACAGATATATAGATAGAGAGACAGACAGACAGATAGATAGATAGATAGACAGAAAAATAGATAGACAGATAGATAGACAGACAGACAGTAGAAAGATAGATATACAGAAAAATATATAGATAGACAGAAAAATAGATAGACAGATAGATAGATAGATAGATACACAGCCAGACTGACATACAGACAGACAGTAGATAGATAGATAGATAGATAGATAGATAGATAGATAGATAGATAGATAGATAGATAGATAGATAATGTTGCCTTAACGGAGAGTAATCAATATGCCAATGAAAAAGGCATGGTTGGGACATCAAATCAATATCAGGCGAACATTTCAGCTTGTTAGTTAGTTTACTTTGAGCGTCTTTACCGCTCGATAATGTGCAAACAATAAATGACAACGTCCCGGATCCAATGCAAATCGCCATCTTATACACGGGGGAACAGTGTTGAGTACTGTTAATTTCTTTCATTCACCAAATCATGATTAATGAACCGTGTTTCTTCTGCCATGGACGGCGTTATACGATTTATTCTCACCCACAGTCGACTTCAACAATTAAGAAACGCATGCTTTACTTTATATAACGTAAGCGTAATTGAAAACATTCTTGTATTTCGTGTGAAAAGTTTAAGCACTAATATAAGATAGCTACGCGATAAATCCCAGATAACGAGGTAGAACGAAGCGTGGTTTATTTCACGATAAAACGTTGTTCTGTCATGACGTCATTTCTGGTGATTCGAGTATTCGCTGGGCTACACAAATAAACGCAGTGGCCGAACGATCTCATCCAAAAGTAGGAGACATATGCCAATCGGTTTATTCTCCCTGTTGTGTTTTATTGTACGATCAACAACTCCCACTCGTTTATTTCTTAAATAGAATACCTGTACATGCATATACGTTTATGTTGATTAACTATATTTGGGACAAAAATGTATTTTAATTTGAGGGTGGACGTCAAATATTCATGTTGTACGAGCATTCAACACTTTGAAGGTCGAGGTCGCCCAAGGTCACACTGAGCTGAATTACGAGCACGTGGTTCCCATTGTCTCTGAAACAGAAAGCGATGGAACCACGCACGCCAAATTATATAGTTTCAGAAATATGTACCTTTAAACATTAATGCCTGTTATTGATAACGCGTCAAACATTATCACCTTTGTGGACTTACACTGTCCGTGGGAATCATTTAAGTAGGAAATTTGTTTGTCTGCTAAATCGTAACAATAAAGGTCCAATTTCCGGTGCCGCAAAGTAACCTAGAATCTTCTTGATAACACGTCACGGATAGCTATTACTGCACCCACCCACAACCAGGTGCTGAGTCACTGAATCATTCAGCAAATGTAAATAAGGGACGTTAACCTGACAAGTGAAAGTGAAAATAGTGTGGAATGAATGAGTATGGTTTTACGCCGCTTTTAGCAATATTCACCGCAGAAAATACCGGGGAACCCAAAGAGATAACATTTAATTGTCACAAGTGGTCAGCAAAAATGTCACGAGTAGGCAAGACTACGTCATCATCACGTCATCCGGACTACTGCTTACTACCCATAACTGGTGTGACCCTCCACAATAAAGGTTTCCGCCATATCTGTGGATGATCAAGGCGATGTTGATAATGCAAACGAGATAAGACCAAAGATATGCATTGACACTCTCTACGTTTTCGACACAGACGCAGGGTAATTCGACCGAAGCACGAGTAACTTATCAATAAATTACAGTTAGGATAGCAGTACGTCATAAATTACCATGGAATAGCCAATCACAGACCTGTAATTCGACCTCACACATATGTTTGATACCAGTTATCTCAAATTGGATTCTCACCCACATGTGGGTAAACAAATGTCGGTAATCTCCAGACGCCCGTTATAAAGTGTCCCTCATCTCTCCTGTTCAACGCTCCACTCATAAAAAGATGTCCCTCAATTTTTTAAGTCCTATTTACTATGTACTTAGTGATAAAAACTGTATCTATAAGAAAATATACAATCTCTGTCAGAAGAGTGAAATGTCTTGAATGTTATGTTTCTCTTGTGAAACGCCGGAACTACTTTATGCCGGAACTACTTTATGCCTGCCCTTGATGACACTACGGTTTTCAAAGACAGATAATAAAATTCAGGAAGAAAATACTTAAATACACCTGTCTTTACATGTGATATAACATGTGTAACTCAACAGATAATGTTAAATATTACCTGTGTCATGTCTCTTGAGGAGATGAATGTCATATCTGATATGGCAAAAGAACATCCATATGTCTTTTTGTAAACCTTCAGTGACGTCATGCTATAGTTGGTCAAGGTGGTTATTTATTCGGAGTGACCAGTTTCAGGGATATTCGCGAGAACGTTTGGAGACTGTGTGTTTTCAATGTAAAGGTCAGTTTAACATATGAAACCCCATATAGCGCGTTCGGTTCCCAGTTCAATCAAGCACGGAGAAATGTAAACTAGCTCGACAATGAAAACACAGTTTGTTAATCTCCATTCTACCATGACAAAAAATCGCTAACTCTGAAGTGTTAGCAACGATATTGAATAAAGCGGTGTGGGTTGATATAGAGGGTTGTTTGTTGATCCGAATTCAGGACTCACGACATGGCCTTCAAACAAAGTATGGCGCTGTACACCTCAAACATTATTTTTACATGGTAATACGTTACTTGCATATATGCCAGGCATTGGAAATAAGTACCACAGCTCCTTCATAAGCTAACGTGAAGTGGGCAACCCTAAACAAATCAAGGAAGATCACTATTTAACGTCATGCCATTCATCGTGACGCAAAAGATATGACGTTCGGGTCGAAAAATTCAAGCGAGTTGGCACCACTACCACAAGTTAATGTGCATATCACGTGACCGAATCTTTATCCTGTTTGTAAACAAACGCACTTACATCAGAGCAGCCCGTGTTAATGGGAGTCTTTCAGAGTGGTTTCCAGATTGTTTTGCAATAATTATAATGGAAAAATGCATAATTGCATGTATGTTATCCTGAAAGGACATTGTCGCGTTGCCGAACCCACGAGCACGGGTATGGTGCTGCCAAATGTAGAAACATTATCGGGACGAACAGGGATTCGAACCCACAATCATAGGTTTCTGGCGTTCCCAAGGGAGGCAACTCTGCACAGCGAATTGCGGAGCCTTAGACGAATGTTCGATGGTGTTAGGGACTTCGAGTTCACTGTCATTGTGAATAAATTCAAACATACACTTTTCAGCATCTGGTGGTGCCACCTGCGATGACGACAGTGAGTGTGGGAAAGGCATGTGTGACCTAGTCGTGTGTGTCTGCGAAGATGACGACTACACCGGCAAACGTTGCAACATCAAGAAGCCCACCGACCGTAAGTATGTGTTGTTTTGACAGACAACAGATCAACACAACTGTCCAGGAAGATATCTGCCGTAGGTCTGACGAGCTATTGCTGTGATAATTAGACACAGCGATATGAACCACTAGCAGTAGTCAGTTACTCACTCACTGTGTTAGAACTATTCAGCCAGTATCCAGGTGATGCCTTTGCATTGATACCACAGAACGGAGGTGTTACAGTGCCACGTTAATTGAATGCTGGGCCCCGTTCCACAAAGTGATCGTAGCGCAACGACAATCGTAAGTCTATCGTAAGTTCCGTCGTACGTAGCGCTACGATAGCTTTGTGGAACATTCCCCTGAAGTGGTACGATGCTGAAATGTGCTAACGTGTCACGGTGCTACGCTGCTAAAATGCAACAGTAGTACGGTACTGCCGTTCTATGGCGTCAAGGTTCTACGCTGCTAAAATGCAACAGTAATACGGTACTGCCGTCCTATGGCGTCAAGGTTCTACGCTGCTAAAATGCAACAGTAGTACGGTACTGCCGTTCTATGGCGTCACGGTTCTACGCTGCTAAAATGCAACAGTAGTACGGTACTACCGTTCTATGGCGTCACGGTTCTACGCTGCTAAAATGCAACAATAGTACGGTACTACCGTTCTATGGCGTCACGGTTCTACGATGCTAAAATGCAACAGTAGTACGGTACTACCGTTCTATGGTGTCACAGTTCTACGATGCTTCAGCGTTACATCACCACAGTTTTAATGTGCTACAATGTTACAGACCTACACTGCTATAGTGCGACGTTGGTACGATGCTACAGTGCTATGGTGCGACGTTGGTACGATGCTAAAGTGCTAGGTTAATTCGGTGCTGAAGTCCTACGATTCTACGGATGTGGAGTGCTGCGGTGCTTCAGTACTTCGGAGCTTCAATGTAAAGTGTTGAAGTGCTACAGTTCGACGATGCTAGGCTCATATAGTCCATCAGCTGAGTGGACACATGTCCCTCTTCGATGCGAATATCTTTTGCATTCAAATCGTGAATGGCTTGTTTCCGTCGCAGTCAGCAAATATATATCATCCTTTTCATTCCAGCAGAAATGGGCAAGCAACCTCTGACAGAAACTGAAGCCGCGGTTGTTGATGGGTGCATTACTGATGTGAAAAACACCATCCAAAATCAGCTGACAATCATCAACCCGATCATCTGCAACTTCCAACTTAAACTTCGAGGTGAGATGCAGCACAGTGCACTCAGACTTCCAGAAAGCAGAGAGGCTGCTTCTGAAGATTTCCGCGCTGCCACGAATAGAAGTTGTGAGGAGGTCACGACGGCCGACACCCTTGGTGAAGCCAAAACCAAGATAACTGCCGTGGCCGATGCCCTCAAGAACGAATTCTTTATTGCACTGGAGAGTGCTAAGGTATGCATAGAGACAAGTGATGCTTTTGAAGATCCAGTTGATGTTGCGAAAGGAATGAAGAAATTTGTGTCTCGTCTCGTCTTCCGGATACACGACCTTGCTGATGAACTATCTGAGAATGGTAAGTAGTTTAGTTCTCATCTACCCTACTTTCGAATTTTTTCCTCGGATCTTTCATCAGAATTCGTAGTTTCGTAAAAAAATGTCATACTATGACACTCATCATGTGATACGACTTAAATGTTTTATTTTGAACAAAATAATTGAAAATTTCTACAAAATCACTATTAATTAATTGTGGCCTCACAGATGTTCTGTCATGGTAACGTTTAATGTATGGGAATGCTTGAGAGGTTATGTAAATAGAAGTGAAAGTGAAAGTAGATACCAATGACTGGCATTTCTCCAGTCCAAGGAGGCTACTGTAGAATGGACGCAGACTGCGGTGCTGGACAGTGCAATGCCAACAACATGTGCATGTGCAGTACTGACACCTGGGGGAGGCGCTGCCACAATGGGACATCTGACGTTTACGGTAATGATTCCAATTGAATAGTAATTTAAACATAGCGTATAATAATTCTTCTAACTTAAATTAATTCACACATAACGTGTAATAACTTACATATAAAATAGTTGGTATAATTGTATACATTTGACGTATAGTTCCTATTCTAAATGCTCTTTGTTATTGAGAGTGCATCGGTGCCATCTTACGTTGTGGTTTTCAAGTTCCGATCGTTGTTAAATTGTCTGTTAAATTATATAATTATATTATTTAATACCAGGTGCCTTTGAGCAATGCTTATTGTATCATGGACCTTTTGTTAATATTGTTTTAAAATTGTATTGTCATAGTGAATTGATGTAGACTTGGTTAAATCGTTGTGGGGACGCACACACTCCTGATACATTTCTGTTCATTTCTGTCTCTTCATTGGCAGCGATGTGTGACAAGTGTTACAATGGTGGCTCCTGTGTCTTCAAGAACGGAACCTTCAGTAGTTGCATGTGTTCGTATCCCTGGACTGGTGCCACGTGCAACGTGTATAAGCAGAGTAAGTGTGCATGAAACGTCGTGATATTCAAAGAGACCGATATAGAGCTTTCAGGTTCCATATTCCGTCTTTCCGTCAATTTGTTTCTGTGTTCAGTTTATATTTCAAACGTTATCTCGTGCCGGTGTATTTTTATGATATCCTTTTTCTCAGGTCTAGAAAATTGCACCACATGTCTTAATGGAGGATCGTGTCTGCCTGATTCCCAAAGCTGTCACTGCGCGCCGGGGTTTGTTGGACGTTACTGTGAATTGAATATAGGTAAGAACGTTACCTTATCTCTACGTAAGAATATTAACAAACATTTATATGGTTTCTTTTTTACAATGAAGTCGCGTAACAAAAGTCCCAGCCTCGTTCAACCCACCCTTAGCTTCTTCCCTGTCTATCATAAAAGCATAACTTTTGATAGAAGGTTTCTTTTTATCACCCACAGCTGAAACATTTTCAAGCCTGGCATCAGCTGATATTAGGACTGTGGACACATGCTTGCAGTCATTCAGAGATGAGGTTCAGGAACAGGTGACCATCATGAACGACATCTTCTGTCAGTCATCACACATTGGACGCAGGGCAAAGACGTTCAGGATCCCCCGTGTCCACGACATCGTGTCAGCGCTGACAACAGGGATGAAGATGCACGAGCTACTCATGAAGGCCTGTGTCAATAACAGCGTCGCATTTACCCCTGCAGAGGTGAAAACTAAATTGGCCGGAGCACTACAGGCCCTGAACGCTAGTCTACATTCCAAGACGTTCTCCATGGCTGTGAAATGTATGAACGATTCTTTGAGTGAGAAGAAGGTCGTGATGATCCTGAGGCAGTTATATTCAGACATCCTCAACAACACCATAGGAGCAGGACGAGCCTTCGGAAGTCGTAAGTATGGCGTCTGATGTATTTAAAGGCAACAGCCTTGGTGGCCCACTTGTCTGAGGTGCCTTAACTTGCAGTGCTGAGTTGCGGTTCCTTGCTTGTGAGCATCATACCTGTGCTCTTGGGTTTAAACGCTTAGGACCTGCACCACCTCCGGGACTCGACACATTACCTGACACACCATGGTATTAGTAGGACACCGTTTAAAGCACTGTGTACACCGTATAACACACCCCATCACTTACCAAGCGTAATGAACCCCATGGTCTCTGGCTATGACTGATTCCATCATTATTTACTCTCAAAGATGACTATTTATCTCAACCCTTCCTTTAAAGAGCTTTTGTCGCTTTTATAAATACTCGTGCCCTGGCAGCAGTAAGTTAACATAATTAGAAAAAAGTCTCCGCTGAACGATTCCGACAACGGAAGCATCATAGAGAATCTCACCCGAGTGTGTTTTGGTATCAAATATATCAACACGAGTTGATAAAAGTGGAATCTCCGAGTTTTTTCCCCCACTTTTATCAACGAGTGTTGATATATTTGATATCAAAAGACACGAGGGTGAGATTTTATTTATCATCCAACATCATTCTTCCAATTTTTTCAGTTTGTAGAAAGTAATAAGCAGTGTCTAAAGTGTAAAAAGTACTGCTAACAGTTTCAGTAGCAGAGCCATTAGTGATGTCATTTGATTGTGTCGTCATGGTAACCAATGACATCACAATGGTCTGTAAAGCATTGTGATGCAATTTCATTGCAGCGATATCTCCAGTATAGATATCGCTTGATCTCACCCAAGCGACAACTCCTGTGGGAGCCAGTTTTGGATGATAAATTATGTTAAACATACCTCTTACTTAAAAACAATTTTGACTTCAGTGTTCGATAGATGTTTTAGATGAGCTGTTGAGTGGATACCATTTTATCACAACTAACTCAAGTGTTAGATAAATGTTTTAGAGGAGCTGTTGAGTGGATACCTTTTTATCACAACTAACTCCAGTATTAGATAAATGTTTCAGAATAAAAATTAGATGGGTGATCTTTATCACAACTGACCTCAGTGTCTGATAAATGTTTCAGAATTGATATAGGATGGGTAATTTTGATCACAGCTAACTCCAGTGCTCGATAAATATTTCAGATTTAGTGTTGGATTGATAAATAAATGTTTTACCAGCTATCTCCTAGTAATCACCAAGACCTCGCAATAGCATATTAGCATATCGCATGACTCCCCATTGTTTGCCATAATCGGTTGAAGGAAACAATGGATTTGGTACATGAGTGTTGACGCAGAAATAAGATATAAAACATAATTAGATTGAAACTTATGCTTCACTGAATCACTTATCATATTACCATCAAGATGTTATAGTCTTTATATATTTTGTTTCAAAAAAGAAAAAAAATCAGCATTCAGTGGGATGCCAACGAACTATTTAAGTTTATAAATATACAGAGTCCAGCTGTCGGCCTTCATCAAGCACACTCTGTGGATTTCATGCTGCATCATTTGAGATCCTTTTTCAACAGTTGCTGTAACCGAGTTTCAGACTGAAGGCCGGGAAGCCGGAAACTTAACTATTTATATTTGTGTATTTATTTGAATTGCCCTATGAAAATAAACAACAACGAAGATTTAATGAAGTTTAGGTTGAAGATGATTTATTGTCCTGTCAATCAAAGGTAACTCAATATGTACAACTTGTATTGTATGAACGAATCGAGGAATATCATGAAGAGCGCGTCGTCTAATAGTTGGATAGGTAATGTTTATATAATAGAAATAGAAATAATGCATAAATATTCATTGAATTGCAAAATGGCGATACTCTTGTGATCTGTTTCTTAATTCATTCGAGTCAGAACTGTTTGATGAGGGTTACAGCATGCAATATTTCAAAACATTTTCTGGAAGAATTCTTGAAGACAGTTCCACAATTGACGCATCAGTGACGAATGATGTCTAATGCAATTCCCAGTTTATCATTGAATTTATAAAACGTTTGCACAGATGGCGTTAATACCTTCACGTGGTACAATTACCGTCGACTGATGAATGAGTGCAGGAATATACATCACGAACGCTGAAAGAGAAAAGTCATGTGGATATAGCTTCTTTACTGGCCAGCCCGTAATAGAAATGTTTTATGGGAGACAAGTTGAGGACATTTCCAAATTTGACGCATCAGTGACTAAAAATGATGTTCGATACACTTCCCTATTATGACTTGAACCACATGTTCCTGTGTTTTAGGTGAATAATTGACTTGTCTTTGCATGTGTATGTGATGTGTGCCACCGGTAGGGCAGGATGCGCTCACCTTTTCGCGAACACTGGTGTCATCACTATTTCATAGTGATTCATAAACACATGCTCGTTATATAGTCGGAATACTACAAAGGACTCAGCTTTTGGCCGAGGGTTCATGTTTTGTACCGCCTTCGTTTGACCATACACACCCAGAGCAAGTATATAACACTGGCATCATTGATTAAAGTCTCACGCGTACATATGTCAAACAGTAGTACAAATACAATGCGCATGGTTACCTAACAAACCTCTTCGCATCTAATGGTACGATGCTGTCAGCGTTAGGAACCATCAACCCACACTATCAGTCGTTATACACGTTCGTCTTGTTTGTACATGTTCTCAATTCAATGTTAAACTTTCGTTTCCATTTACTGCCTTTACATCTAAGTATCGATCTGTTATCGCCGTATCCCCACGATGTCCCAAACATTGGTCGGTCGCTGCAACCTGCCTACCGCGGTGTGTCTATTGACTTAGCACTTAGAGTGCTGATGGGGTCAAGATACCTGTATAGCGGTTTACTGGTCAGTGTAACGCTTCTCTATTGGCTGGCTTATTGGATGTATCTTCGTGTCCGACGTAGTTAATGGGGACTTTGTCAAAGAGGCAGTGTTTATTGGCAGTTGTAACCGTTACAGACTTTCCTCTACGTCAAGGTAGTAAATGGGCTGGGATCATCAACAATAAATGGTTCAATGGCGTTTTAAATTGTTTGGTAGATCCATTTTGAACAATTTTCGTGACAGTGGCGCCTGTGGTATTATCACGATTGTCGCTTTATTAAAGGGTGTTTGGTGTGTGTGGGTGAGTGTTGATGTGATGTGTATGAGGAGGGGTGGGGGGTGGATGGGGTGTGGTGTGTGGGGGTGTGGGTGTGGTCGGGGGCTGGGTGGGGGTTGAGGGTGTGTGTGGGGTTGGGGGTGGGGTGGGGTAGGTGTGTGTGTGTGAGTGAGTGTGTGTGTGTTTGTGGTGTGGGTTGAGTTGGTTGATAGTGTGAGTGTGTGGGGTGTGTGTTTGTGGTGTGGGTGGGTGGGTGTAGTGGGTGAGTGTGTGTACGGGTAGTGTGTGGGTGAGTATGTGCTGTGTGTGATGTGAATGTGTGTGAATGTGTGTGTGTGTGTGTGTGTTTGTGTGTGTGTGTGTGTGTGTGTGTGTGTGTGTGTGTGTGTGTGGTGTTTGTGTGTGTGGTGTTTGTGTGTTTGTGGTGTGGGTGGAATGAAAAGGCGAGTGTGTGGAGTGTGTGGGGTGTGTGGAGTGTGTGGAGTGTGTGGAGTGTGTGGAGTGGGTAGGTGGAGTGTGTGGAGTGTGTGGAGTGTGTGGAGTGGGTAGGTGGAGTGTGTGGAGTGTGTGGAGTGTGTGGAGTGGGTAGGTTGAGTGTGTGGAGTGTGTGGAGTGTGTGGAGTGGGTAGGTGGAGTGTGTGGAGTAGGTGGAGTGTGTGGAGCGTGTGGAGCCTGTGGAGCGTGTGGAAGGTGGAGTGTGTGGAGTAGGTGGAGTGTGTGGAGCGTGTGGAGTGTGTGGAGCGTGTGGAGTGTGTGGAGTGGGTAGGTGGAGTGTGTGGAGTGTGTGGAGTGTGTGTGTGGAGTGTGTGGAGTGTGTGGAGTGGGTAGGTGGAGTGTGTGGAGGGTGTGGAGTGTGTGGAGTGGGTAGGTGGAGTGTGTGGAGGGTGTGGAGTGTGTGGAGTGTGTGGAGTGTGTGGAGTGGGTAGGTGGAGTGTGTTGAGTAGGTGAAGTGTGTGGAGTGTGTGGAGGTGTGGAGTGTGTGGAGCGTGTGGAGCGTGTGGAGTGTGTGGTGTGTGTGGAGTGGGTGGAGTGTGTGGAGTGTGTGGAGTGTGTGGAGTGGGTAGGTGGAGTGGGAGGAGTAGGTGGAGTGTGTGGAGTGTGTGGTGTGTGTGGAGTAGGTGGAGTGGGTGGAGTGTGTGGAGTAGGTGGAGTGTGTGGAGTAGGTGGAGTGTGTGGAGTAGGTGAAGTAGGTAGAGTAGTTGGAGTGTGTGGAGCGTGTGGAGCGTGTGGAGTGTGTGGAGTGTGTGGAGTGGGTAGGTAGAGTGGGAGGAGTAGGTGGAGTGTGTGGAGTGTGTGGAGTGTGTGGTGTGTGTGGAGTAGGTGGAGTGGGTGGAGTGTGTGGAGTAGGTGGAGTGTGTGGAGTAGGTGAAGTAGGTGGAGTAGGTGGAGTGTGTGGAGCGTGTGGAGTGTGTGGAGTAGGTGGAGTGGGTGGAGTAGGTGGAGTGTGTGGAGTGTGTGGAGCGTGTGGAGTAGGTGGAGTGGGAGGAGTAGTTGGAGCGTGTGGAGCGTGTGGAGTAGGTGGAGTGGGTGGAGTGTGTGGAGCGTGTGGAGTAGGTGGAGTGGGTGGAGTGTGTGGAGTAGGTGGAGTAGGTGGAGTGGGTGGAGTAGGTGGAGTAGGTGGAGTGTGTGGAGTGTGTGGAGTAGGTGGAGTAGGTGGATTGGGTGGAGTGTGTGGAGTAGGTGGAGTAGGTGGAGTGGGTGGAGTAGGTGGAGTAGGTGGAGTGTGTGGAGTGTGTGGAGTAGGTGAAGTAGGTGGATTGGGTGGAGTGGGTGGAGTAGGTGGAGTAGGTGGAGTAGCTGGTATTGTGGAGTGGTTGGAGTAGGTGGAGTAGGTGAAGTAGGTGGATTGGGTGGAGTGGGTGGAGTAGGTGGAGTAGGTGGAGTAGGTGGTATTGTG